CACTCAGAGGTCCGGGTCTGTTCTCACTCAGAGGTTCGGGTCTGTTCTCACTCAGAGGTCCGGGCCTGTTCTCACTCAGAGGTCCGGGCCTGTTCTCACTCAGAGGTCCGGATCTGTTCTCACTCAGAGGTCTGTTCTCACTCAGAGGTCTGGGCCTGTCCTCACTCAGAGGTTCGGGTCTGTTCTCACTCAGAGGTCCGGGTCTGTTCTCACTCAGAGGTTCGGGTCTGTTCTCACTCAGAGGTCCGGGCCTGTTCTCACTCAGAGGTCCGGGTCTGTTCTCACTCAGAGGTCCGGGTCTGTTCTCACTCAGACGTTCGGGTCTGTTCTCACTCAGAGGTCCGGACACAGTTTCACCCAGAAATTGACTCCACAGACCGTTTCTGAAAATGCAGAAGAACATTATATTTACCAAAACATTGTGCCAAGGACATTAATTATCAATTGGTTTCATAAACAAACGGCTTTATTTAAAAATAAACTGTGTATTTAATGTAGTTTCTGCTATATCTGGATTTCTATGAGTTTCAGTTCACAGAAAATCCACCAGTTTTCACTATCATGTTTTTGTAATTAGCTTTTCCATGTGACTAATAGTGTGACCACAGCCACAACCCACAGCCTGGCATTATATACCCAACACCCGCAGCCTGGCACCATATACCTCAAACCCACAGCCTGGCATTATATACCCCAACACCCACAGCCTGGCATTATATACCCCAACACCCGCAGCCTGGCACGATATACCCCAACACCCACAGCCTAGCACCATATATCCCAACACCCATAGCCTGGCATTTTATACCCAACACCCGCAGCCTGGAACTATATACCACAAACCCACAGCCTGGCATTATATACCCAACACCCGCAGCCTAGCATTATAATCCCAACACCTGCAGCTTGGCACCACATACCACAAATCCACAGCCTGGCATTTTATACCCAACACCCACAGCCTGGCACCATATATCCCAACACCCACAGCCTGGCATTTTACACCCAACACCAGCAGCCTAGAACTATATACCACAAACCCATAGCCTGGCACCATATACCCCAACATCCACAGTCTGGCACTGTATAACCCAACCCCACAGTCTGGCACTGTATACCCCAACCCCACAGACTGGCATTATATAATCAACACCCGCAGCCTGGCACCATATACCCCAACACCCACAGCCTGGCATTATATACCCAACACCCACAGCCTAGCACTATATACCCAAAACCTGTAGCCTGGCACTATATATCTCAACCTACAGCCTGGCACCATATACCACAAACCCACAGCCTGGCACCATATACCCCAACATCCACAGTCTGGCACTGTATAACCCAACCCCACAGTCTGGCACTGTATACCCCAACCCCACAGTCTGGCACTGTATAACCCAACATCCACAGTCTGGCACTGTATACCCCAACCCCACAGTCTGGCACTGTATAACCCAACCCCACAGTCTGGCACTGTATACCCCAACCCCACAGTCTGGCAATGTATACCCCAACCCCACAGTCTGGCACTGTATAACCCAACATCCACAGTCTGGCACTGTATACCCCAACCCCACAGTCTGGCACTGTATACCCCAACCCCACAGTCTGGCACTGTATAACCCAACCCCACAGTCTGGCACTGTATACCCCAACCCCCCAGTCTGGCACTGTATAAACCAACCCCACAGTCTGGCACTGTATACCCCAACATCCACAGTCTGGCACTGTATACCCCAACCCCCCAGTCTGGCACTGTATAACCCAACCCCACAGTCTGGCACTGTATACCCCAACCCCACAGTCTGGCACCATCTAGTTCAACCAACAACTTGGCACAGTACCATTTAAATCACAGCCTATTAGCCAGAGCTGTATTTACCACGAGGCAAACAAGGTATTTGCCTAGGGCGGCACTTTCAGGGGGGCAGCCAAAAACACAGCCCCAAATGCCCATGCAAATGACTTGTTTGCCTTGTGTCCTGAGGGGCCCAACAGCTAGGGGCCCTCTAGGTGTTAAACTACTAATATTCTAGCTGGGCGGCGAGGAAGCTATGTTCTTTTAAATTAAAAAAATATATATTATAATTGGTGAGTGTATGAGAAAATGTGTGTGTCTGTCAGTGAGTGTGTGTTTGTCATTGTGAGTGTGTTTGTGTGTCTGTCAGTCAAAAAAGTGGCCTTGACACGAATTGGTGGGGCAAATTTAGATAAGGGAGGTGCCGACTTTAGTCGTTCCCAGCACATATCCAAAATACACCACTGCCATTAGCTGTAACTATAAGTACAGTTCAATCCACAGTCTGGCACCATAAGTTTAATTTTCATCCCATCCAATGCTCTCCAAACCCTACAGCCCATTAACTGATAACGTAACTCACATTCCCTTTACCATACATTGCAAACTGTGCAGCCAATCAGGACACAGTTCTATGGGCTAGTGATGTCACTGCGCAGTCATTGGTGATGATTCCCATCATCTTCCCCTGAACTCAGCAGTTTCTATTGAACTCTGCACTGTACTCGGCAGTATCCCAACTCCCAGCTCATCCGGCTGAGTTTAGTGAGACTGATGCAGGCTGTGTGTAGTGAATAGGTCAGAGAGAGAACAAGCAGCTCTCCAGCCATCTGATCCTGCAGATCTAAACTCCCATCATCCTCAGCCAGCCTGGGCTCAGCTGTATTACTGGTTACAATCTATATTTTTATACATCCACCTTTTTAAGCAAATCCGTTATTGGAGCTCTAATTTGGGTTCAGAAACAAATGAGCAGATTTTACTTCTTGTCGTAACCCCTCAGTGGTGCTTTACAGGCAAAACTGTTTATTAAATTGAGAAATCAAGGTGAATTTAAAGTGAATTTCAAATTTAATTTCAGAATAGACAACCTGGGAGAATTCTGAAAGCCAGCTTTAAATTCTGGCTTTAGAGGATAGCTGTGATATAGGTAACTCTGGCTTGCATATAGTTAACAGCTGATGTGAAGGAGAGATAAGAACTAAGTACTGAACAGACAGCTGGGAGTTCCTGGAAAGGTCTGTTTATTATGGTCTGTCAAACTGTGAGTATAATTTGGAGATTGGGCAAAGCACGGGATATCCCTGCATGAACACAGGGGAATCTGTATGGGGATTATTCACTTAACTGAGAATTAACCGGGACTAGCTGGGTTAGCGTCAGGAAAAATTCTCCACATCAGCCAGACTCCCTGCTCAACTATTCTGAAAAATGGGAACTTCTCTTTCCATTCAGGACAATTCTCACGTTAGTAAATAACCCTTTAAATCAGTGTTGGGGAATGACTGACACAAATGGTATGTCCCTGGTCAGTAAGGGGTTAACTGACACTTCCTGTGTTTAATAAAAGTATGTTTTCAATATTGCATCATTTGTAGAGAAGAATGAGAGAAACAATGTTACACGTTATTGTTTTGTAACAAACTTTAGAATGTTTGGAAGGGGCGTGTCCTCAGAGGTGCTGACCCGCCCACTCACTGCCTTTCCCAAGCCTTACATCAGAGAAGTGGGCGTGGCTTGAAGCTGCCCTTTATAAGGTGGCCAGCAGGCGCTCCAGCTGTCAGTAGGTCTCTGTGTCATCAAGAACCCAAGTCTGGGACTGCCTGCTGGCTGCTAACAAGGTATGGGGGAGGGGGGGGGACTGGTCCTAACTTGTTTTGGACATGTGCTCTGAATGCTTTGTTTGCCATCTCCTGCCTATGTAAATGGGTAACTGGGGGCATCACCTGGGCTGGCACGTCCTGCCACGAATACAGTGTGCCCACTGTCCACATGATTACAATCATTGAGCTATTAACTCTTTCCTTTCTGCACCTTTTTTATTTAACTTGGGGTTTAACTGGTGGGTTGGCCATCAAATATTGGGGCTCACACTACTATGGTGATCACAATGCTTCAAATTACCTTTCTATTGTCTGGGTGGTAAATATCTGTAAATGTGTCATAGAGGATGGGGGAGGGATGTGTGTGTGTGTGTGTGTGTGTGTGTGTGTGTGTGTATGTATGTATGTATATATGTATGTGTGTATATATATATATATATATATATATATATATATATATATATATATATATATATATATATATATATAATTTTTTGTCAAATGTGAGATTGCTTGTGGGGGCACTTATATTTTTGAATGCTTCAGAACGTGTGAGTCTAGATTGTGATTGTTAAATAATTTAGTGTGTGTGTATACTTCCCCCTTCCATCAGCCTTGGAGAATGAATGTCCCTCACACAATAGAGTTCTTTATTCCCAGGCTCAGTCCATGGTACGAGTAAAATGAGGATTTAAATAACATGATGTGGATAATCTGAGGACTCCCTGCCCTCTTGTTCTGATTGATGGCCACTGGCTCCCACAGGGTTAAAGTCCAGTAGCACAGGAGGGCTCTGACCATCCGCTTAGTTTTAGTAGAAAACTTGTTGAACTGGTTGATTCCAGTTTGCCTATTCTGTTCTCCTGCCTAGGGTGGAGTCTAGTGGTGGGGAGGGGGGGATATATAATATAATAACTTGTCTAGTGTTCTAATCTCCATGGGATACCAAGCTATATATCTACAAATCTCTCTATTTTTTTTTTTTTTTTTAATTTCTGCCCAGACAGTATTTACAATTAGACCTGTGATAAACTGTCTGATATTTATCTTGAGTTCAATACACTTTATGGGATTGGATGCCAGTCTCTGACTGGATCTTCATCATAGGAGACAAGGGTCCAGTTTATTGCTTCCCCCTCCCCTCCCCATAGCCGCAGTGTATGGCCTTGAGCTAGTAATCCAATCGCAGAACCAACTCTGTTCAAATTCTTTAATATATTTATCCACGTTAATCAGATTTTCTAAATGGTTTTGTATACAACACAATCTGTTTCTCTAACTGTAGGTTTGTTTGTTTTTAAAAGCCACGTCTAATATTGTAATGTGGATGTGTGTATAATTTGTCTTTCTTCTTTACACACAGATCAGCTGCAACCATGTCTGTGTCTCACAGTTCAAGACTTAACAAGGGGGTAAGGGAGCAGTACATGAAATTGCCCCAAGGAGGGATGGTCCAGGTCACTTACGTCTGGATCGATGGGACTGGGGAAGGAGTCCGCTGCAAAACAAAGACCCTGGACTATGAACCAAAGTCTGTTGAAGGTAAGACAAATGCCCCCTCCCCCACATTGCATCCTGTTGTGACTGTCTGTCCTTCGCCCTGCATGGGGTGTCTAATTACACAGAGCTTGAAAAGTGTCTATTCAGGGTGTAGCCCTTTAATGGTGTATCTGGCTCAATCCTGTCTGAGCCATTCTGCTCCCTCTTAAAGGAATATTGAGATGCATTTTAAAAATCCTTTTCTGGAAGTAAAATTTACACTAGTCTTTAAGAATTTGGATAGAAGCCAGCTATCCTTGGACAGACTAACACGTTCTTCTACAAGAGAACCTTGACTGGCCTATGGGGAGGAGTGCAAAATTTATTACTTTATTTTTTTTCTTGCTATTTTACATTTTGAGCGTTTCAGTGGCTTACGGTCTGATCTTGTCAGTAACGGTGATCCCAGCTTTGCAGAAAGTTACTGCTATAACTTTAAGTATAGTTGAAAGACATGACTCCTTTGTTCGCTCTTGTAAACACTTAAAAGTGGAATATGCTGGCTGATAAATGGCTACATTTATGTAAAATATTTTTTAATTATTTTGTGTTGCTACTTTATCACGAAACTTCTGGATTCAGTATGTTCACTGGTGCTTTTAATGTTTTATTTCAGAGATCCCAGAATGGAACTTTGATGGATCTAGCACGTTCCAAGCAGAAGGATCAAACAGTGATATGTACCTTGTCCCTGTCCACATGTTCAGAGACCCTTTCTGCCTGGACCCCAACAAGCTGGTCATGTGTGAAGTTCTGAAATACAACCGTAAAGCTGCAGGTAAAAATGGGCAATTTGCTGAAATCACAAAAGTCCACTTTTGGACTTTATTTATTTTTTCCCCTTCAAGTCATCAGGCTTCGTCAGTCTGTGGTCTGAACTGCAGAACTCCTGCATATATAACTATAAACTGCGCTTTGACCAGTGTTGTGATGAGCTACTGATGGTTAAATTAGGTGCTTAGAAATCCATGGAAAAACAGCCCCACCCCAGATCCGTGTAAACAATTGGTTTGCTTTGATAAAGTTGCTGAATGATGTGTAAGTTGAACTTTGTGTATTTACAATCCTCCCTTTCTCTGCAGAAACCAACTTGCGTCATACGTGCAGTAAAGTAATGGACTTGGTTAGGGATCACCGACCCTGGTTTGGGATGGAGCAAGAATACACCCTGCTAGGAATCAATGGTCACCCTTATGGCTGGCCCGATAATGGCTTCCCAGGGCCACAAGGTAATCCACATTATCTGAAAGCATTGAATCTGTTCTTGTAAAAGTCGTCTGTTGGTTTTAACATTCTACAGCACAGAGGTTAATGTTGGAACCATCTGGTCAATGTGTGCCGTGCAGGTCACATGCATCTACAGACTGCTTCGTCTGTGTCCTGTGCTCATTAACATGCTCTTAGCTGGGGAAATGTTGATGGGAGCTTGGATATCTCCTGGCTACATAAGTCTGTCACTGGGATCGAAACCTGGAAATTCTGCCTTTCCAGACCAAAATATCTTCTGATGACATAGGCCATCAGAACAGTCTACTAGAAAATTCTCAGTCTGGTAACATCTGTGGATAAAACGTTCGTTTGGTTTTGTTTTTTGTTTTTTTTTGTTTTTGTTTTTTTGCGTATCGAGGCAGGAAACAAAATAGATGCCATAATCTTAGATTAGATGCTTTCTTCCCAAATACTAACCCTATGATATTATCCTTAATATTTCCTCAGGTCCCTACTACTGCGGAGTTGGGGCAGACAAAGTCTATGGACGTGACATTGTGGAGTGTCACTATAAGGCTTGCCTCTATGCTGGCATCAAGATCTGTGGTACAAATGCAGAAGTGATGCCCTCACAGGTAAGGGGGGGAACCCTACTTGTATCTGTGGTCAATCTTTTACCAGTAGTTCTTCTTTATAAACAGATTTATAACAAAGCCACCATTTGGTCTGTTTTCAGTGGGAATTTCAGGTCGGTCCTTGTGAAGGCATTGACATGGGTGATCATTTGTGGATGGCTCGGTACATCCTTCATCGGGTCTGTGAAGACTTTGGTGTTGTTGCCACTCTTGATCCAAAACCTATGACTGGTAACTGGAATGGGGCTGGATGTCACACCAACTACAGCACAGACAACATGAGGAATGAAGCAGGATTAAAGTGAGTTCTCAAACACCTTGTGTTTTGTGTCAAGAGTAAAATCTTTTTGGTGTTTTGTATAACTAAATGGTCAATCTGGAGCAGTTTTTGGGAACATTCCACATGCTTCATTTATTTTAACTACAATCAACATAGATGACCATCTTCAGCTGAGACATCGCCACAAAACCGTAGCAGATGCATAGTCCACAGTAGCTGAACTTAAAAAAACAAAAAACCTGGTTTCGCAATGTGTTCTTGTGGGGGTTTCTTAACTTTTATTTGTCTAACATCTGCTCAATTCCTCTACTAGGTACATTGAAGATGCTATTGAGAAGCTTGGAAAAAGACACGACTACCACATATGTGTGTATGATCCCCGTGGTGGCAAGGACAACCTCCGTCGTCTTACCGGCAAGCACGAGACCTCTAGTATCCATGAATTTTCTGCAGGTGTTGCCAACCGTGGTGCCAGTATCCGTATACCACGCCAAGTTGGGCAGGAAGGCAAGGGGTACTTTGAAGATCGCCGGCCAGCTGCCAACTGTGACCCATATGCTGTTACTGAAGCTATGATCAGGACAACCATTCTGAATGAAACTGGCAATGAGACCAAAGACTATGGAAACTGAACGAAGAGCTGGTACTCTTCAGTTCTTCAACTGTGCCTCCATATCTTCCGTCTCTTACATGACTGCCAAAATTCAATTTTTGTAACTGTTGTCATCTGTTTTTACACTACTTGAAATTTTATTCTCACTGAGAAATCCTTTCTTTTTTTTTGAAAGGAAGGGCATTAAATCCATAGTAGACTATGCACCCAAATTATTTTGGCTCTTGCCTCCAGAAAAGTTTAATAAAGGTTTTTAATCTCCTCTTGGGTGGGAGCTGAGCATTTAGCGAGTAGCAAGTTGTTATATGGTGCAGCAGTAAAATCTGTACGTCTGATGTGCCTCCCCAGCTTACCAGGGCATGAACGGGGAAGTTAAATTAAAGTTCCTTTTATTAAAGGAGAAGACATTGTGGAATAACTCTACACAATTTTTAAAACACGATGTGACTTTTTTTCCACTTTATTGTTGCAAATGTTGATTAAAAGAGAATTTCTACTCCATACTGTAATGTTTTATATTGAAATAAGTGCCAGTTAACCTCTCCAGCCACTCACTCTCTATGAGAACCTATATCTCAGGATAGCAAATCCTTGCTTAGGTCAACTTCTAATTTTTATTTTTTGTTCACTGGGTTGATAAAATATGGAAATGATTGGAATTTGTATAGAGCCAACTGTATTTCGCAGTGCTCTACCCAATACAAAGGAGGAAGTTTAATATTTTTTTTTTTTTTAAATGTTAAAGAAATAGGTTAATGAGGAGGACCCTGCTTGAAAGAGCTTACAATCTAGAACAAAACTGTCTGCAAGAGTGTGTGTTAAATGTATTCAAAAATAAGAATGTGGGTTTGTTAGTGTAGTTGAATTGCCAAAATGTAAATAACACAAACCATTGAGTGGGGGGGGGGGTTTACCCTGCGGCCGCCAGAAGAAGAGCTCTCCCTACGGCCACCGGACAGCTGTCTGCACACAGGTAGCAAATATGTGTCAGGGTGTGTCTGTCTTATTGTGTGGTGGGGTGTGTTTTTTTTTAAATATATTTGGGGGTTCTCACGTCGTGCTTTCTCTTCAACTGGCCCTGCCTCTATAGCTGAGATCATCAAGCTTGATGATCTCAGCCAATCTCACTGACACAGGAAGCACCTCTAGTGACGGGTGAGTATCTGTCCACTAGGAATATTGTAAAGCGCCGCGGAATCCGTTGGCGCTATATAAATGGCAATAATAATAATAGGAAGCAATGTAAACACTGCCTTTTATATGGAAAGGTGTTTACTTTGAAAACTGAGGACAGGCTATAGACACCAGAACCACTGCCTTAAGCTGTGTGTGTGTGCAGCGTCTGCTAGTGAGTGGGCTTGCCAGTGTGTGTGTGTGTGTGTGTGTGTGTGCCTGCTACTGAGTGAGCTTGTGTTTTTATGTCAGTGTCTTTGAGGCTGTGTGTCAGGAGTCTGCATGTGAGTACTGTAATTAAACATTTTACTCTGAAAGGACCAATATTTTATATTAGAAAAGGAGATATATAAATCAATCATCTGGGTTGGCAAGACATATTATATGCGACAATATATGGCGTAATGACTTATGGAGCTGGCATAGATTTTTATTTTATTTATTTTCTCCTCCCCCCCCCCCCAGGGCTGCTTTGTATCTCCTGTCTGGCCCTGCATGGGGACACTGGGCAACTAAGAGCTGGGAGACACGAGATGCTTCCAGTGTCCCCCCTACTATAAAAGAAACCCTCTCAGGCACTCACTGTGATAGTTAAGCAGATTTATTGGACACTGCAACGTTTCAACCTGTACCCAGGTCCTTATCAAGTCTCCAGTGTCTCCTATGTATCAGTGCCCCATGTCTCATAGTGTCTGTGCCCCAAGTGTCTCGGTGTCCCCTAGTATAAAAAAAAAAATTCAAGCACTCACTATGATAGATTTAAGCAGGTTTATTGGACACTGCAACGTTTCAATCAGTACCCTGGTCTTTATCAAGTCAGTATCCCCTATGTACAGTGTCTCCATGTTTCCAAGTGTCTCAGTGTTCCCATGTCTCCCAGTGTCTCAATGTCCCCTAGTGACATGGGGACACAGACTCTAAGGAACTGGGAGACATGGGGACACAGACATGCCCACCTTTTGGGTATGTTCGCCCCTTTCGGCAGTTTACCCCGTCCATAGACTTCCTGCTTTACTGGACTGCTGTTATGGGTTTACTTGAAAGATGAAAGCGTGAGCTTTCTTATAGCTGCATTCTATGAGTTTCCCTCCAACACCATCTCCATCAGATACATGACGCTTAGGAGGTAGGACTTCTCTAGTATTTTTGGTCGATAAGATTTTGTAATTAGGCACCATCATAATTGTCAGCACCAGGCCGACTGGGCTCTTAATCTGGCCCTGTTTGTGTGTTATCGTTTATTCCCCACCCCACAATGTTTTGTTCCCATGTAAGTATAGCGTAAGGACTTAACTCAAAGTGTCTATCTGAAGAGCGTGCGTCTGGCTTCCCAAAAAAAAGAATCTAAACAATCTCTCGTTCAGCAATACTTTCCTGGGATCATTAACCCTCACTACTACTGTTATCTGGGTATTAAATGGGTTTGCAGAATATTACATTAACACACTCTATGCATCGGTTTCACCTCTCTGGTGACCTCCAGAGCTCATGCTTGTTTACATTCGTACATTTCACAGACTGAATATAAGGAACTAGTGTCTTATTCTAGGGATATCCGCTAGAAATGGGGAATGTTATCTAACATCTGGGGTTTAAATACCTCCACAAAACCCCATTCACAAGGTCATGAATTGCTGAAATTTACACAGGACCCACATGGGCTAAGATACACTGAACTGGAGCTGCTTGGAACGCGGCCGTACAGGAAGGATAATGGGCAAGTTTAATAGGACTGGCCAAAAATACATGTTTGTCTATACAGCTGTGATTCCCTTAGCAGAGACTTGTAAAATTAATAGCTGATCCAACGTCTCTATTTATACAAATTTTTGCAATTTCACTACAGTTTGAATTAAACGAAGTATGGATAGTGCTCTTTTTAAAGTGGCTCTGTCATCTGCACGTTTTGCTTCTAAATTAATACCTTTTTTTATTTTATTTTTTGTCCCTCTATATCTCCTAGTTTTAATTCTTTTTATTTTTTTTATCTGTTTTATTTTTTTAATTCATACACAATAAGGACTCCTCCTCCTCATGAGGAGTGTGATCTTTGGCAAATCGTGGCAATAGGTGGAGCTTAAGCAGAGCTCCATTTACCCTAAATCTATGAGTCAAAAGAATCCTGCAGAAGGCAAACTCCTGGCACCATGCACAGAAGAGAACAAAATGGCTGTGCCCAGTTCAAGGAAATATAAATAAATATAGGCAAATGGCAAAGAGGAGAGTGTAGTCATTTTGAAATAAAGGGCCTAAGGAAGGAAAAAAAAACAACCTGAAACAGGAATTAGTTTTGCTAAACACAAATCCATTTGAGGAATGCTCCTAGCACCATAACCACTACAGGTATCCTGGCACTTGGTTCTGCTGGGCCTCGCCTGCTGTTGTCTTTCCCTGCAAGGAGTTTCCACTTAGCTTCACTGAGCTGGGCCTGCCCCGCGGTTAAAACGTCCCTGGATGGTGGTCCCCATCCATCATTCATTGCAGCTTTACTTGGTCGCTGCAGTAACAGCGCCTCTAGTGGCAGTCTGAAATACAGCTAGGAGGAGTGTGTTTAACCCTGCAGTGTAAACCATGGGTCCTCAAACTCCGGCCCCCCAGATGTTGCTGAACTACAACTCCCATGATTCTCTGGCTATCTATGTAATTCAGTTGTAGTTGTAGTTCAGCAACATCTGGGGGGCCAGAGTTTGAGGACCCATGGTGTAAACTGTTGTAAATCCCCTTTTTAACAGCGACAAGAGGGCCTGTGAGCTAAACAGTGCATTTAGAACTATAGTGATAGGAATACATGTTTGTATTCCTGACACTATAGTGTTGCTTTAACCCCTTAAGGACACATGACATGTGTGACATGTCATGATTCCCTTTTATTCCAGAAGTTTGGTCCTTAAGGGGTTAAATGTGGTGCATCACAAAATTACACCTCCAATTATATCATTTGGCACTGTCACAAATTCTGTAAAGGAGGTGTAATTTCTCCCCCAGTATTATGGGAGACTCAGGGCTAACAATAAAATCTGTACAAAAATAAACCAGTGGCATTTCAGGGCCTCAATCAGTGCGTGAGATCCTGTCATCCCCTCTATGAACGCCCCTAAATAGAATGTATAACAAAAACTATAAAATTGTATAATCTGATTAGATTGTATAACAAATATTAAATGAAGCGATACGCTAGTCATGTGCGATGTCAGCTGAAATCGAATTAAATCAGCAGTTATCGGAAATAAACATAATAGTAAACACTAAATCAACCATTAACACAAAAAAACAAAGTACCTTACAAAATACTAGCCAGTATTCAAAGATAACGCAAAGTTTCACATTAAAGCCTTTCTCAATAGAGGTATGTGTTTGACCAAACCGTGAGCCATTTGACTGAGTTGAGATGCCTTTCGATAACGAAAGATTTAACGGGTTTTTGACAAAGCACCTTTCAAAATACTAGCCAGTATTCAAAGATAACGCAAAGTTTCACTTTAGAGCAGGCTTCCCCAAACTCCGGACCTCCACATGTTGCTGAACTACAACTTCCTTGATTCTATGAATAAAATACATAGGCTGATAATCATGGGAGTTGTAGTTCAGCAACATCTGGAAGGCTGGAGTTTGGGGAAGCCTGCTTTAGAGCCTTTCTCAATAGCTGTATGTGTTTGACCAAACCGTGAGCCATTTGACTGCGTTGAGACGCCTTTCGATTACAAAAGATTTAACGGGTTTATGAAGTAAATCTCTGTAATTTAATCCAGTCTTTTACATACTACGGAAGAAGTCTTCATTCAACACCACTTCTTCACAAGAGAAAAATGAATCTCCCAGGGCCAAAGAACAGTTTGCTAAATATTA